CACACACAGATTCTTTGATGTGCAATTTCTATCCCTATTTAATTGTAAGCCCCGCCCCCCCAGCTTATCGAAGCATAATTGACAACTAGAAGCTGCACATATTGAGGGTGTACAGCACTGATTTCACATGAACGCTGCTGAGGCGGCGATTGGGGGGCGTCCCCACATTATAAGAGGAACTAAGAGAGCAGCACAGTCCTCCCATCGGCAAAGGAGCGCACATGCTGTTGCTCTGTGTTCACAGAAGGTGTGTTGGTCTCCGACTGTAAAACACAATCCATTCATCTCTTCTGCATATTAAAGATCGTACTGTACCAATTGGTAAACTTTACATGCTTATAAAACTGAAAAAACAGATGCCACTGGAATAAGATAAGAACTTAAAAATCAGACCTTTTAAGATAATCTTCAATGCTTTGAGGAGATGAAAGTCCCTGACACGCGCCTGTTGTGTAATGTGCTGGATGAATACAGCGCTGTGGTGTCCGTGGGCATGACAACTCCTGGGGAGCGGCTAGGCTCTGCGGGGCGGGGCTCTGAGCGTAGACAGGCTTGTTTCCAAGTGCGGCTGGATGGAGTTGGGCACCTGATCCTAAATGAGAAGAAGAGGGCCTATTAAATACACTGACGCTTAGGCTTTCCCCAGTTATCTCAGCTTTTGAGAATTTCATGTTTGAGGAACTTTCTGTTTCAAGAACTTTCCTACTAATCCTCGCTTTCTGAGAGTTTTTATTATTATTGGGTGTAGAGTTTTTATCAAAAGCTTTCCCCCATATTTGTCAAACCAAACGGGTTTTCTGCTGTGTTCTGTAAATATGGCAAGTTACGTTAATTGGCTTTCAAACGCTAATCTTGCACTTCCGGGATAATCTCGTTAGTGTCTTCTCGTCCTGTTCCTTACGTGGCTGAGACCCGTTTGCACTGTGTTGTGGAAGGTTTGCATTTGTATGTTTGTGTTCTTGAGGGTCTTGCTCTGCACTGGACTCTTTGGGAACGTCTGTCCCCTTCTCCCTTCACCCCGCCCAGCATCACCAGCTCCATGTGCTGTTCCCTCTCCCCCGCCCCTACGGCTTTCTCGCTGGCAGAGCTAAACAGCTTCAGTGACACCCCCTGCACTGGCCTTTGGAGGTCTCCAGTGGAAAGTGACGGGGGGCCTCTCACCGTGTGGAGGAGCCTGTCCATCCACGCACGTGCCGCCCACGCTCAGCTTCTGCGCCTTTGCTCAGTGCCTCGTGTTCCGTAGGCAGGAGCACCAGGTCCCCAGGTGCGGGAGAGGGGCCTAAAACAGCCAGCCAGCAAAGGGACCCGTGATGCCAGAAACAGAAGAAAGCTGAAGAGCAAAATGGGGGAGTGAAAGACATTGTGCCTGTCAAAAGGAAAAAAAAGGTGGCGGCAGTAGCAGGAATAAAGAGCGGAGAACAAGGAAGAGCTGGGAGAGTTAAAACCGTCACCCAGGAAAGGATCCCAGGGTCAGAGTGGGAGATGGAACGAGGAGTAGTCCCTGTGCGGGTGCCGGGACACAGGCCCAGCGAGCGTGGAGTTTCCAGGCGAGGAGGAGGCAGTGCGTGGACAGTGGCTGGGGGGCTTTGCCTGGGGTGTGCTCCATGTCTGCGGATGTTAGTGTGATAGGCATTGCTCACGGGGCCTAATGCAGACTGTTCCCATGGGTGGAGCCCCTGCTCAGATCCAGCCCGTCACCGCGTGTGTGGCAGGCACTGCTGTGATCACGTCGCCTCGGTTTTCACTCTCCTCACCTGCGACAGGGGGTGGTAGATGCAGTACCTGCTCTCGGAGCGGTGGTGGCAGTGAAACGTGCTGAGACTGATGCGTCACCTGGGTCAGTGGGCAGCATGTGCTCGGTGCTCTTTAAAGAGTTGCTGTTAGAACCACCAGGCAGATGGGCTAGTATATGTGGATGGCGAAGAAAAAGATACACTTAAAAGTAACAAAGGCCTCCTGGGCTCATGGGAGAGCTCACCGGACGGAAAGCTTCCTGTTGCCACAGTCTTTCACCAACATTTCCCCTGCCCGTTGACGTTAAGAATCTGCAGAGCATGAATGAATGAATGAGCCCCTTAGTGGTAGCTTTCACTTATGATGCTGAACTCTAGCTCCGGTATCGGTATCGGTCTTCTGATCATTGAAGAAACAGCATGTTAGTGTGTTTATAAGTATGTAAGAGTGAAGTTTTCACAAACTTACATGTTTTATTTCAATTACAGGCGCCGATTAGCCAGGTAGAAGTGACAGAACCATGGCTCAGTTTCCAACGCCTTTTGGTGGTAAGTTTTCAAAGATCTTCCTTTTTCAATGTATTTTGGAACCATATGTTAATAACTTAGTATTGTGGCAAATTTCAGATGTACACATAAGTAAGGGAATAATATAATTAACCCATCTCACATGTGCTCATCTCAGAGTTTCAGTGACGAGCAGCCCATGGCCAATGTTGTTTCATCTGGATTCTTTAGAAGCAACTCTCAGGCATCAAATCATTTCATTCACAAGTACTTTAGTACATGTTTCTAAAAGATAACACTTCTAAAGATATAATTCAATACCATTAGCATCCCTGCAGCGTTTACAGTAATTCCTGATGGCAGTGTGAGGCTGCTAGCGAGCGGCTTGGTTAGGGTTTGTTCAGATCGGGATCCAAACAGGCGCGTGCACTGCGGTTAGTTGGTTCCCGGGTCTCCCCCGTGTCTCTGGCTGTGAGCTCCCTCCGTCCCCGGGTCGCCTTTGCAGTTTATTTGTTGAGGTGACTGGGTCACTGATTCTGTACTGTTTCTGAAGCCTGGATGTGAAGTGTGACACTTTTTTTAAAAAATATATTTTATTGATTTTTTACAGAGAGGAAGGGAGAGAGATAGAGAGTTAGAAACATCGATGAGAGAGAAACATTGATCAGCTGCCTCCTGCACACCCCCTACTGGGGATGTGCCCGCAACCCAGGTACATGCCCTTGACCGGAATCGAACCTGGGACCCTTCAGTCCACAGGCCGACGCTCTACCCACTGAGCCAAACCGGCTAGGGCTGAAGTGTGACACTTTTATTTGTTTCACTTTATCTGCTTAAAACATCCTATCGATCTGCATGAAATGTGTTGTTGGGTGACTTTTCCTAACTTTATTGGAACGTGTGGAATAACTGTTTCTGCTCACTGGCTAAGGATTCCTTCTAAGAGCGGGTGCCACGCTGATGGCCCGCGCTGCTGTCCGTGCGGTCACCGTGGAGAGAGGCCACGCTGGGCCACCTGTGAAGCCCCTGTGGACTCCAGTTCGGAAGGAAGTCGGCCAAGTTTTCAAAACCATTAGTGTTATTTCATCTTGGGTTTTGATTTCATCCGCCTTTAATTCCTTTTTTATTTGTTGTTGTGTTTTTGGCTTACTTCTGACAGGGCAGTAAACAGCTCTTCCAGAACGTATGGGACTGTCAGGCCGGGGAGGGCGGGACCAGGTCGGAACCGTCCCCGCTCCACCCCCGATGCCTAGCCCAGTGCTTGGCACCTAACTGTTCAGTAGTCTGTCTCCAGCGACCGAGCGAACCGCCGCCACCTGCCGCTGCCAGCGCAGACGCGCAGGGTTGGCGGTGTCCAGACACGTGGCTTCGTGCTGGGCATCGTCACACGTTGCCTGAAACATACGCATGGCGTCTGCTCCCACCTTCTGGGGCGTGTCTGACGTTTTGAGAACCCTCTGCCTGTGGCTCTCACATTATCTGGGTGAATTTGAGGAGACCAGGACTGAAGGGAGAGAGGTCTCAGAAGGAGGGGACTTCTGCTCAGTCTCAGCTGAAACTGAAGGAGAACCTAAATCCCATTGTCTTTGGTTCGCCGTTAAAAAAAAAAAAAAAGCCTTAGAGAGGTGTAATTTACAAGCCATCAAACTCACTGGTCCTAACCAAGCAACGTCAGTGTTTCTTTGTAAATTTAGAGAGTTATTCAGCCATCACTAGAGTCCAACACCCGAGTGCTTTATCGCCCCAGGAGGTTCGCGCACTCACTCGGATTCTGACTGAGCTCAGCTTCTTTCATAACTTTCGCTGTGGCATTTAGGATGGTCTGTTGCGTAAGTGTGTGTGAATGAGCGATGAGTAACTCACTCTATCTCCATGCAGCCCCGCTAACGACAGGGTGATGGGACAGTTGTTATAAACAGAATTGGTGCCAGTTCCTTTTTGGGTGGGAAGGGCTGTTTACGCTTAATTTTCTAGCTGTGTGTGCATTACTTCCAGGACAAACAGTGCTCATGTATCGAATCATTGCTAACGTGCTGACATACTCTTCATGCGATAGGAATAGTTCATGCGAGGGCCTGGCCTGTTCTTCATCATTCAATAACTCGCTTGTCTTCCTCGGACTGCAGGCAGCCTGGATGTCTGGGCCATCACCGTGGAGGAGAGAGCGAAGCATGATCAGCAGTTCCATAGCTTGAAGCCAGTTTCTGGATTTATCACTGGTAATGGGCGTTGGCACTTGTACATTTTCACTTCTCAGTGGTGCATGTATTTTGGAGAACCTGCCAGCGAGCTAAGGTGGGCTTACGTAGGACTGAGGGCATAGTTACCCATCTGCCTTCTCCTTGACCTGCCCTGTGACAGTGGCTTTTCCAAGAATGCATTCAAGCCTTGTTTGCAGTCTTAAGGAATTCTCTTATTTCCTGTGTCCCTGAAGTTCCTTCTGAACTTGGCCTTTCCTATTATCTTTCCTGTTTGGTTACTCTTCAGGCATTGCTTTCAGGAAAATGAGATCTAGATTCCCTGGTTGCTATCGGGAATGACAGAGACCCTTTTAAAAAGCAGAGACAAGCTCCTCACTTTCTGGAGGGTCCCTGCAGATGTGCTTGTCACATGTGTGGCTGTTACCATCCTGGTTAATAGCAGATGAATTCATGTCGACAGTGTCCGCCTGCCAGTGGCCAGCCCTTTGAGATGCTGGTTTTAAGGCGCTGAGCTCCGAAGTCAGTGCTCATGGCGGGTGTTCCTGTCCTTGTGGACTTGCTGTTTGGCTTCTATCACATTTCAGTGCCATGATCACAGGGTTACCAGCCTCTTCCTTAGTTTTGCAATATTATTGTAAGAAAATGTCTACTGTGGTTTAGCTGTTGTTTTGTTCTGAAACTTTTCCCACTTACTTTACAGGTGATCAAGCGAGAAACTTTTTTTTCCAATCCGGGTTACCTCAGCCTGTTCTGGCACAGATATGGTAAGTGGGAACCTCACATCCTGGAGATGAATATTCTAGGGATAGAATTTCTTACGCTGCGGGAGGAGACCGTCCCTCTCCAGGCCGGACACTCGCTGCTTCTCACCAGAGAGACACTCGGGAAGGAGGTTTGTCATGTGGAACTAAAAAAAGGGTGACATTTGCCAGATAATGCTGTCAAGAAGTTGGAATTTGCAGTGGAGAAATCTGCATTTTGATATTTTCTCACTAGTTTGTTTTAACTTCACCCTTTCTCATCTGAATGTCCCACATTTCTTGCTTTATTATGGAATGGAATGGCTCTGTATCTTCCATTGAATAAAAGGCAACACACACACACACACACACACACACACGCACACACACACACACTCGGGTTAGTAGGAAATAGTGTTCCGAAATAGAAAGCTTTCCTGGGAAATGCGGATACATTTGTGTGTGAATATATTCAGCCTGAAACCAAATGGCACCGCATTCCTGTGCTTTTCTGGTGTCTGCTCTATTTTCCTTCTCGGGGCTGTTAGCATATTGGCTGCCAGACCTCTTCCCACTACTGAGCCTCCTGGCTCTGACCTCTGATCTGCTTTGAGCTTGGGAAATCAAATAACCAGCAATTTCTTTTAAAATTTTTTGGAATTACTTTTAAAATTAAGTAGAAAGCAGAGAGAGAGAGAGTGCGAGGGAGCACCGACCTGTCAGTGAGTGCCTGCGTTTGAATGGAGGAGACCTGTGTGTGTGTGTGTGTGTGTGTGTGAGAGAGAGAGAGAGAGCGAGAGAGAGAGAGCGCGCACCGACCTGTCAGTGAGTGCCTGCGTTTGAATGGAGGAGACCTGTGTGTGTGTGTGTGTGTGTGTGTGAGAGAGAGAGAGAGAGCGAGAGAGAGAGAGCGCGCACCGACCTGTCAGTGAGTGCCTGCGTTTGAATGGAGGAGACCTGTGCCTCCTGCTCTGCTCTGCGCTGATGTATGATTGTGTTTCACACCATCAGTCAAGATCACGCGCTAGAACCTTCCTTTCCCAAGCATAACTCCCTCCATTGAATTCTGCTTTTATGCTTATTCCCAGTTTAAGAGGTTCACTCAGGAGGCAGACTTACGATGCACGCTCTGCTGTAAGAGCATCTCACCTGCATGTACTCAGCGTGGAAAGATATTATCAGGTGTCGGCTCTGGTCAGCGAGCATTGTAGGTGCTGGGGGTGTAGCTGTGAACAAAGTAGACAAATCCATGCTTTCCCAGCGACCGCCGCCCAGCGGGAGGAGACAGCTAATCGCAGTGTGAAAACTGTCACATGTAATAAGTATTTCCAGTCAATTTCATTGTTTTAGATTAAGTTGTTTTCTAAACTATTTTAGGATTAGTGTATTGAAGTCATTTTTCCAACTTACTTTATGGTGAAAATTTTTATCAACAATACAGATGATGAATTGCTAGTAAAAAATGTTTTTGTCTTTAATTTTTGTGTGACAGTTTGTTAAATGAACTTGTGATGGCATTTTTTTTTAATCAATATATTTTTTTACTTTTATCAAGAATTGATGTTAGGCTCTAGCGGTTTGGCTCAGTGGATAGAGTGTCAGCCCGCAGACTGAAGGGTCCCGGTTCCATTCCGGTCAAGGGCGTGGACCTCGGCTGCAGGCTCGATCCCCCGCCCTGGTTGGGCTCGTGTGGGATGTGTCTCCCTCACATCAATGGTTCTCTCTCTCTGTCACTCCCCCTCCCTCCCACTCTCTCTAACAACCAGTGGGAAAACACCCTTGGCGAGGATCACAAAGGAGAAGAGCTGCTGTCGGTGGAAACACTCGGAAGCGTCTTTTCCCAGGGAAACCTCTGGAAGGGGCTGCGGCTCCCGCACCTGGTGTCCTGAGAAGGTGCCGGCTGCAGGGCGAGGTGGGCGATCGGCTCTCCGACCGGCCCTGTCCTCACTCTGCAACCCTGCGTGGCACTTGACTTCCTCACATTTAGGTTTTAAATTTATAAAGAAGAGCAGCTGCCCTCATGAAGTGGGTGGCCTTTTCCCTCTCACGCTGATCTGTGTTCTCATGGGCTTTGCTGGGAGGGCGCCAGGGAAGGCCCAGGCCGCCAGGTGGATAGGAAAATGGGTTTGCAGCTGCAGTTTCGTCACTCCCCGTGTTAGCCATCTGAGCAATAACGTTTGGACTGAGAGTGAGGAGCTAGTTCTAGGCTATGTCTCTGGGCCTTACTTTCTTGGCTTTGGACCTCGATTCACATATACAAGCGATGTGGGCTGCGGGGAGCGTGTTAGGAACTTGTATGAGTTTTGATCCATGTAGAACCTGTATTCCAGGGAAGTAGTTTGTGGCGTTTGAGCTGTAGCCTGCTCGTACTTGAGGCCACCTATCTAGCCAGCCCGATTCCAAGTGAGAACATGAGGGGACTGGAGTTCTCGGAGCCCGGAGCCACGTCAGTGCGGGCCGTGCCGGCTGATGCGCCTTCCCAGAAACGCCTTCCTCCTGAGCGGGAAGGACACTGCCAACAGCCTGGGCCCCTGGCAGCTCCAGTGCTTCCGGTTGTTCCAGCCTCGGCCTGCAGCGGAGGAGGAGGGGGACGGGCACGGGCAGGAGTCTGAAGGCCCAGGAAGTAAGAGGGAGAATGAGGGCTTTGGAGTCAGGGGCTGTAGGGGCCGCAGACATGGAGACGAAAGGCTTCTGAGGAGGGAAATGGGGCGGGGGAGCACCACCTAGAAATGGGCCCTAAGGGGGAGAAGGAGCCAGAGACAAAGATAGAGATCAGAACAGCCTGGTGACGTGGGGCCCGGGCACAGGGCAAACAGCCATGGAGCCTGTACTGCCTCAGGCTTCCTCGGAGGGGCCTTCAGCCCCAACGCGATCCGTGTGCCAAAGCCATGCGCCAAGCCGTCATCCTGGGCTCGTGTCCCCGCGCTCCCTCCCTCGCTCCTGCGTCTCCATCTCAGTTCATGGCCTGGAGCATCTGTCCTGCGTGGGCGCCATGCTGCACTCCTCCCTCCCTTACCCTGCTCACCCCGTCCATCAGCGCACACTTTTGTTCCATCTTCAGCCTTTATTCTAGTCTGGCCCCCTCTGCCTCCACTGCCACGCCACGATCGGTCACTTCACCTGACTGGCGTCTCTCACTCTTGCCCCTTTCAATCCCAGTCTCCAGGCGACATCCAGTCTTTTAACATAGTAAACCCGCTTAAAGCTCTCCAGCAGGGAAGAGCCAGCGGCACTGCCGAGGCCACAATGTGGTACCTGGCTCTTGCGTTTTCCTCTCATTTTCCACCTCTGTCTCCTCATTTGGTGCAATCCGGTTTCCCTGACCTTTCCATGCCCTACATGGGCCAGGCTTCCTCGACCAGTAACGCAGCTCCTCTGGATTCCCACCTGCTGGTCCTGGCCCTCAGGGGTCAGGCTGGGTCTCCCCGCCCAGAGGCCTGTGTCCTGACCATGCGCCCCAGGGCTCCCTCTGACCCTGTGCCGGCCACTGTCCTCTCCCACCCCCTGGCTTCATTTCCTCGTTGCGCTCACCATCCTGTGGAATGAGCCGACTCATGTCCTTGTTTCCTGTCTGTACTAAAAAGCAGTCTGTGTGGGTTCTTAATCTCAATAAGTGAGTGAATGCTGCTGGCAAGGCGAGGCGTCCTTGCGGAGGGCGAGGCCGAGCCCTGGGATAACATGCCGCACGCACACACGCGCAGTTACAGTTGGTTTAAAGGTCGACATGGAATAACCAGAGGCCTGTGTCCTGACCATGCGCCCCAGGGCTCCCTCTGACCCTGTGCCGGCCACTGTCCTCTCCCACCCCCGGCTTCATTTCCTCGTTGCGCTCACCATCCTGTGGAATGAGCCAACTCATGTCCTTGTTTCCTGTCTGTTCTAAAAGGCAGTCTGTGAGGGCGGGAACCTTGTCTGTCTTTTTCACAATTGGAGCCCCAATTCCTAGATAGTGCCTAGTCTTTTGAAGAGGTGACCCTCTAAAAAAATATCTGTTGGGCCCTAGCCAGGTTCGCTCAGTGGATAGAGCGTCGGCTGGAGGACTGAAGGGTCTCAGGTTCGATTCCAGTCAAGGGCCTGTACTTCGGTTGTTGACTCGATCCCCAGCCCTGATTGGGGTATGTGCAGGAGGCAACGGATCGATTTGTCTCTCTCACATCGATATTTGTCTCTCTCTCCAAAAACTAATTAATATATTTAGCTTGGATGCCAGTAGGGTTGTTTGTAGACTTGATAAATGATCTTAAAGTTCATAAGGAAAAAGATCTGTGAGTAGCCTCACAAAGTTTTTAAAAAAGCAACAGAAAAGCCTGGCTAGAATGTGCCCTCAAGCAGGTGTGCTGAGATCAGGGTCATGGTGCTGCCATTGCACAACCAGAATAGATCATCCAGAAGGAGGTCTCCCTGCCGACAAGCACCGAGTTCCGCGAGAAGAGGCTGGGTTCTTAATCTCAATAAGTGAGTGAATGCTGCTGGCAAGGCGAGGCGTCCTTGCGGAGGGCGAGGCCGCGCCCTGGGATAACATGCCGCACGCACACGCGCGCAGTTACAGTTGGTTTAAAGGTCGACATGGAATAAAATAATCTTAGAGAATAAAGGACTAAAAACCTACAGGCTGTGTGATCAAAGAAATATTTTATCTGTAAAAATGTAAACTTTCTTACAGGAAAGATACTATATGCAAAAAGAACAAGTAGTAAGTTGTAACCATCTTTCCGCAGTTGACGAATAAGCAGTTCATATATAACATACAATGAGTTCTTCTCAGCGGGCAGAGAAAGACACGCAGCCCGTCAGAAGCTTGGCGAGGGTGTGAATGAGCGATTCATGTATGAACTGAAGTGACCGAGAAGCGGGGCTCCTGGCAGTGGGCGGTGAGCTGAAGGGGCTCATTGACGGCAGGAGGCGGGCGGCGCTCTCCGAGGCCAAAGGAGCTTCCTGTAGCCGCGGGGTTCCGGTCCCTGCCTGTGACCTTTTTTATTTTCCAAAAGAATAGTGTTGACTTTTACAAATTGTTTTTTTAAAAATATATTTTTATTGATTTCAGAGAGGGAGAGAAAGAGAGAAATACCAACAATGAGAGAGAATCATGGATCGGATGCCTCCCGCATGTCCCCCACCGGGGATTGAGCCACAACTCGGGCATGTGCCCTTGACCGGAATCAAACCCGGAACCCTTTAGCCCCCAGGCCGACGCTCTATCCACTGAGCCAAACCAGCTAGGGCGACTTTTACGCATGTCCCCCACCGGGGATCGAGCCACAACTCGGGCATGTGCCCTTGACCGGAATCAAACCCGGAACCCTTTAGCCCTCAGGCCGACGCTCTATCCACTGAGCCAAACCAGCTAGGGCGACTTTTATAATTTTTAACATTTTAAATCTTTGTTATATGTCATGCTTTTTAATTGTTTCATATTTTCTCTCTCTGAGTTAACTCTAGCAGTACTGTTACTACTTATTAATTACTACAGGTTATTTCCTAAGAAACTTACTTTTCTTTTTTGGTCGCTCCCTGCATGTGGCTCATTTAAAAGATTGCTCGTCATGGCATTTTAAAAAATATATATATTTTTATTGATTTCAGAGAGGAAGGGAGAGAGTGACAGAAACAACAATGATGAGAGAGACTCATTGATCAGCTGCTTCCCTGCACGCCCCCTACTGGGGATCAAGCCCACAACCCAGGCATGTGCCCTTGACTGGAATCGAACCTGGGACCCTTCAGTCTACAGGCCAATGCTCTATCCACTGAGCCAAACTGGATAGGGCTGTCATGGCATTTTGATTGGAGCAGCCGGTCTTAGCATTTGCTGTTCCAAATAAAATTTTCTGAAGATTGGTTTAAAAAAATCTCCACTGTTCTAATGTCTAGAGCAGTGGTTCTCAACCTTCTGGCCCTTTAAATACAGTTCCTCATGTTGTGACCCAACCATAACATTATTTTCGTTGCTACTTCATAACTGTAATGTTGCTACTGTTATGAATCGTAATGTAAATATCTGATATGCAGGATGGTCTTAGGCGACCCCTGTGAAAGGGTCGTTCGACCGCCAAAGGGGTCGCAACCCACGGGTTGAGAACCGCTGGTCTAGAGTAAAGGAAATGAAATCTGAACGAACGTTTTCACGCAGAGGACATTACGTCATGAACATGCACGTTGCATCGTGGTTTCCAGTGTCGAGTGCAAACCCTTTTCTTTTGCGAGACTGTCCTTTACATCAAAGCTCTTTGCAAGTTACACTTGACCATTTATGTTTCAGAACCATTTTAAATAGCAAGCACACTTATAAGCTCACTTAGTTATTTCCCAGCTTTAGGAGTCTAGGCGGACAGCATGGCCTAGCACGGCCTGTCCCCAGGGCGAGGTTTGTGGGACCCACGGAGGAGTTGGTGCAGTCTCGTCACTATCCCTAGAAATAAGCTTTCTGTTCCTAAGTACTCTTTCCTAGCGCTTGGTGACATAACTCACAGAATAAACGTTCCCCTTAAAAGTGTCTTAATTCCTTGGTTTTAGTCTGTCTGGAGCTCTGCAACCATCACCACTATCCAATGTGAGACATTTTCATCACCCCGAAAAGAAACCGTTTGATTTCCAAAGTCCATGTCCTGACACGCAGACGAAAGGTCGCCTCATGTGTCACATAAGCAAAGAACAACACAGTGAGGAGCACTGTGCGATGTAAATGTCAGTGCTCCCAGCTGACTCCTATAGCTCGAGACACGTTTTGTTTTGTGTTGCTTTGTCTCTTCTGCTCTCCCCAGGATTTGGGGGGCTGGTGAGGTTGTGTCTATGTGTGTATGGGGGCTGGTGAGGTTGTGTCTGTGTGTGTGTGTGTGTGGGGGCGGGGCTG